CTGTTGCTCCAGTTCGATCAATAATCGCATCAACTTCCTCAACAACATCAAAATATGCTTCGTTATTGGTGTATTTCACCCCAGTTCGTCTCCATGGGACGTTAGATAATTGTCCACTTGGCAAGATTGCACTAACGCTATGTATAAATTTATAAAATATATAAAAATCTTTAATAAATACATCTATGTAAATATTTAACATAAATTGAAATGTACTTAGATTTGCCTGTAACAGTATTCGCGATGGTACGTAAAATATTGGGTGGCTTGATCAATTCTTTCAGTATGTTAGATTCCGTTGCTAGAGGAAAACCATTGTCTAACATCTCATCTAGCAACTCATATACTACTACATAATTTTCTTTTATAATAGTTTCTGTACATTCGCTGAAGTAATCCTCGAAAGTGTCCACTACTCTGTGCAAGAATTCAATAACAAATAATGGTGGGACTGAAAAAAGTATATTTTTTAGAACATTTATATTATTGTATATATCACTTTGTACAAACGATATCAGAAAGCTTACCTTCTGTCATGCACACTGCAACGAAGAACATATTACAGCGATATATACTAATGAGATAATGATGTGGAGTAGCTATTACCGGCGGGGTATCCTCCGGTGACAAGACTCGTCGTTGTTGATCAAAGAAATAGTCACAGAGTGAACGTGCAACTGCACTCTTCCAATGTTTCTCCATGAAGACATCTCTATATAAAGAATATATTAGAAATGTCGAGTAAGAAATATAAATGTTACAATAATGATAAAAAAAAAAATATAAACTCTATGTGAGAAATGCGAATCTATGATTTGTAAAATATGTCAACCTTGTGGTCTACTTTCTTTATCAAATTATAATACTTACCCTGAAGAATTTATAATAAAGAGACTGTTTATCATCTTTGTGAATAATCAATTGTACTTGCGAGGATAAAATTTTAAACTACAGAGATGAGTAATTTCAACATTAATGCACAAAATCGAAAATATTTATGTGTAACAATATGCTATGTAGATTCGGATTTTTCATTTTACCTTCCTGGGGAATTTCGAATAATTGATGTTTAGATTTAAGTTGCCTGCCTTTTTTCGAAAGAATTGACAGTCTAATGGCGAATTCGATTGGATGAACTAGTGCGCACTAGTGCGCACTGAGTGCACCTGAGTTCATCTTTCTTCCTTTTCTTTCCAGGAGAAGGGAAAAGGAAAAAAGATGAACTGGTGCAATCACACTGCACTGGTGCAATCCAATCGAATTCGCCATAAACGTCACTTTTTTTAAATTCCCTAGACAGTCATATGATTGCGACGCATGCGCATGTCAGTCTGTTCTGACAGATCTATTCCCTATCTATTCTCTCAATATAGATGTCATTTAACTTGTATTCTGTAAACTAAAAATGAGTGAAATATCAAGTTGGGAAGATATCGAAAATGATCGTAAGTCGGAAAACAAATATCTGTCGAATAAAGATTTGCGAAGAGCTAACGAAATATACATCAATTTCAGAATTCTTTAAACAACTGTTGGACGTCGGTTCCAAAAAGACTGACGTCAACCAACTGTTGTCAGTGGCTCAACAATTAAATAAATTGGGACAAGGTAAAGTTTAAATTGCTTTATGTTATTGAAATATCAAAATAATAATAATAAATTTATAATAATTTCAATATAAATGTATAACTCGTAATAATGAATATAATAATTATAATAAATGTTGTTTTTCTCTAGCCATCGAGGTGCTGAATGCCGAACTGCAAAGACAAGTACTTGTGAATCACGAGGATTTACTATCTCAAGCAACATGGGTAGAAAAACTTGAAGGGGTACTTTTTATAATGCAATCTCATATACAAGTAAGTAAGAAAACATTAGTGTCATTTTGAATTTATAAAGACATACAGTATAATTTTTTGTTTTAGAGCCTCTTATCAGCAGTAGAGCGATTACGTGGCAAGATAATTGATCCATTTAATAGAATTGAAATGCAAACGATTGTATTAGCACGGCTTCATGAAACCTCTGATCTTTTGAGAAGAGTGTCTAGGATGCAACATTTATCGAAACGTTTAAATGCTCAAATGAGTAGCATTACTCAAGGGCCAGATATTGTCAAAGCTGCCAATAGTTTGCATGAGCTTGGTATATATACAATTATGTATACCATTTAGTATTTCTTTATTATAATATGTTACATTGTGAAATTCATATTTATAGAACAATTGATGGCAGACACAGATCTTAACGGCCTAGATGTAATCGCAGATGACCAACAGGCTATAAAAACTCAGAGAGCTACAGTGCAAAGAATCGCCACTCATACATTAACACAAGGTTTACAAGCGATGGACAGGGCAAAGGTATTGTACATTATTTTTAATACTACTTAATCTGAATCTACAAATAAAATACATTGTATTAATTAAGTTTAATCATGTTATTATAATTGTAATATGTTTATGCACTAATATATTTATGTATAGGTAAGCACGGCTGTGCAGGTCTTTCAAAATTTAGGAATAATAGACGGTGCTGTAGACACAACTATAGAGTCTACCCTCGCTGAAATAGAAAGAATTTCCACAGAATCATTGGATGTGTCTTTAGTAACAAATTCGGATTTTGGAAAACGTGGAGCACCAGGGAGAGCTGCGATTCCATCGCCTGGATCGTCTGGAAATTTACGCACGAGAATTTGGGAAAATCTTGAACGTCTTTTCCAAGATACTTTATATACACAGTGTCTACAAGTAAATTGACAACAATATGCATTTTATTTGTTTGTAACAAAGTTCGGTCATTTTTAAATCACATTGTTTTATATCTAGATTGAATTGCTGCAAAGAATATTATTGGAGCATCATATGAAAGGATTTCATGATTTATCCGAAAAATTTTGGGATAAAGTAAATGCTCTTCTTGCGAAAGTTTTGATTGAACGTGCTCAAGGTAAATTATTATAAATGTACATTAAATACCAGATTTAATTCAAAGAATGTTCAATAATGAAAGATCTTGCAGGATCATCATTTGTGAAACAAGCCCTGGAAGGAGAGTATCCAAAATTTTTAAGAATATTTTTAGATCTAAGTAAACGTTTGAAAGAAAGGTCTCACAGTATTGGCATTTATGGTATTGAGTAAGTACTTCTCAAGATTGATATAGATAACATGAAGCATTGTATTAATGTCTGTGTGTTTAATATAGCCGTAATGTTTTATTACCGTTCGAAAACGCATATTTATCGCGTTCGGTGTCTCGACTTCTGGATCCAGTTCACAATATGTTTTCTGGCGAAGGTTTGCCGACGCATGACGAGATTGACAGTCTCATACGTATGATTACTAAGTAAGATTGGCATATTTTCTACATGTATGTACATGTCTTATCTATTGACGAAATTATAATAGAGTTATATTCCGTTTCTAGCGAACTGAGCGTATCACTGGTGGATGATGGACTCTCGACCGTGGTGTCGCGTAATGTGGGAAAAGCGATAAGACTATTCTGCTTGAAATGCGAGCAAAGTGTGGTGACAGGCGGTGAGGCCAGCCAAGTAATCGATTCCCCTACTACTGGTCAACAGACGAATGTCACACTCGCAAATCTTCTCCATTATCTTTCCAGCCAGACAAATCGTGTGATAGCTAATTTGGCAGGAGGTTTGTCCTCCGAAGGCGGCGTTGTTATTACCACGGCGCTCAAGGAAACAGATGAATTAACGAAGAATTTACTCGCGCCATTGTTAACTTCTATTAGTGATGCAATCGAAAGCATTATTTTAACAATGCACGATGATCCTGAATTTAGAGAGTAAATAGTTCTTATCTCCTTAATTATTTATTTCCTTTTATTTTCATCTACCGTTCTCACATCGTATATCGTTATTTTTATTATACAGCACAAGTAGCCCTCTAGGAAAGGAAATTGGCTGTTCTCTTTATATGCGTGAATTGCAAGGGTTTATCTTACGATCTGTAAATACATTTTTACTACCGTACAAAAATCAAGTGGTTGTAGCTGAAAGGTAAGTTTTGTTCCTCTTCATCCTATTGTTTATCGAAAACAAATTATTAAATATTAATATTATTTCAGTTGTAAAACAGTTGCGTCGAGATGTATAGAATTATTTGTGCGTCATGCTTGCTTATTGAGACCTTTGACTGATTTCGGAAAAGCAAAACTTCTGGTAGATTTCGCTCAGGTATGTCACGTTCGTGTAAAACAAATGTATCGATTATAGATCCAGATGAAACAGATCGCGGATTTTAGATGGAAATAGCTGTAGCACCATTGTGTCGTGGCGGCCAGATGGGTCTACTCGAGCAACAACAATACAGAACACTGCGAGCACTAAAAGCTTTGCTTCCTCTTAATCCCGAGACGATAGTAGAAAAAATTCTAGAAGGACAAGGAGAAAGTAGCGTATCACCATCTCTTATTCTTCTGTATTTATTTTCTGGCGCACCTCCTGAATTAGCATCACCACACCAGGTAAAATTAATTTCTTTTGTAAATATTACTTTATTTAGACTTATTAAAAAAAAAATTATTACATATTTTTTATATTAGAAGAAATTAATAAATTTTATATTTATCTCTCACGCAGAGTGCTGGATGGTCTGTAGGCCGATTATCTCAGTGGATGGATAACCATCCGAACGAAAGAGATAGATTAGCACTATGCAGTGGACCATTGGAACGTTACCAGTTAACAATCCGTCAACAAAATTTACCATCATTTCACCCTCTCTTTCCACAGATGATGAAATTAGCTAATTTGAGAGAACACTCAAGTCAATAAAGTATATTAATTAGTATAAATATACTATTAAAAAACGTATATTACCTGATACAAACATATTTTTCCAAATGTATACAAACTATAAGAACTAAATTTTAAATTGTAATAAAAATATATAATTAATTAGATAATTGTAAGCTTAGTTATATCAAACATTGTAATATTTAGATTCATTTGAAAAAAAAAAAGGTTAACTCGTTCGAAAACGAAGCATTGAAAATATTTTAATGTTACATATATCCCATAATCTTTGAACATACATTCTTTTACACAAGTATAGTCCTACCATTAATGTAATGCTTATTGTTATAGTCCAACTCGATTTGGTACTCTTGGGACTAATCCAAATAGCCGGTACACCGATATTATTTTCCTTATCGATCTATAATTAAAAAATATGATTAATATTGAATATAGTAATATAAAATTGTACGATTTAAATTAACTTTATATACAATGTGATACCTCTTGAGCTAGTTTTTTAACTTGTATTATCTCGTTTTTTAGAAGTTTCAAAGTTTTTTGCGTTTTTTTCAGTTCTTCTCCATATTCTATTCTTTTTTCAGAAGACAAAATGATATTTTCGTTTGCAGCTTTCAGCAAATTATTTTTAATGTACTGGAAACTAGAAGCTATCACGCCAATCTGCTTTTTTGCATTTATTAATGATATTACGCCGTCATAAATTCTATAACCATTTACACAATTATTATACATGTTAATTACTTTGCTTCATATATTCCTATAAAGATATAAAAAATATAACATACGTATATGAATCAGTTTTCCTAAGTTTGCCAAAACTGTTTATAAGCCATCTCCTGTTATGAAATTTTTCAAGATTTTCTAAGAATTGATCTCTATGAACAGTAATATCTACTCCTAGGCGACAAAGATCCTCTTCTGTCAATTGCAAAAAAGTTTTAATATCCATTCCTTGAAATAAATTGCTATATTTTTCCAAACCCATTCCATATAACATCACCGATATATCATAATCTAAAAATTCTTTTTTTCTAGGATATAAATTTGGAAATAAATCTTTCCAAGTTAATATCTCAGTTATCTCGTAAAGTGTTTGCACCTCTTCTTCATCTTCATCCAACAGAGCAGATATCTAGAAAATAAAAAAGTAAAAGAATTTAGAATTAAAATCTAGAAAATAAAAAATAAAAAAATTTAGAATTAAAGAATAAAATTTTGAATTGAAACGATGAAAAAGATATCAATTACCGCTGAGAATCCTTTTGCATCTGCAATATCTCTGGCAGATAAACTGTGTGTATCTGTCAACGAAGTATTCGCATTATGCGCCAAAAGAATTTTGACGTTATCAAGTTTATTAGCTGAAGTGGCATACATCAATACCTATAATTGGGAATTGAAAAATTATATAGATAAACTTTTGATATTTAATGATATTCAAACTTACCGTTTTCCCATCGCTGTCGTAAGCATCAATGTTCTTTACGTATTTTATAAGCTCAAAGACAAAATCCGCATCCTTTGACATACAGGCGTACATTAGAGCAGTTTCCCTGCAAAAATTGTGATTGTCAAATCAAGATAGCAACTATGCTAATAATTTTAATATCAGAGACATTAGCTTCTCTGTTTCTTATTTATATGGCATTAATTTTACTTTCGCTTATTTGTAGCATTTGCATCAGCTTTTGCTTCTATTAAAAGCTCAAGGCATTTCAAAAAATTTGTTTTTGTTCCCTTTGTAGAATTACACAGTGCCATAAGAGGTGTAAATCCATCTGGAATCCATTTGATTGTGATTACAGAAACTTCATATAAAATAATAAATAAAATAACATTGATTCATACCTTTATGTTTATTTGGGTTTGCACCATGTGTTAAAAGATATTCTACTATTTCTGGTTCCACAGATGAAATTGCGTACAATAATAAGGTCCATCCGGTATACAGGAATTTATCAACATCATGTTTTTCTACAAAAACATTTGGTAATTGTTATTTATTAGTATACATTTAATATAAAGGAGAAAAAAAGAATCATAAATCTAATTAATCAATGGCAATCTGAGTCTCTTTATTTTGCTTCTCAATTTCAATCATTTTTGTTCAAATCTAATTTTTATTAAAAATTTTAACATTTGAGTTAAACAACTATTTAATGACATAACATAGATGTTGAAAAGTAACTGTAAATTTGTTTAAAAAAGTAAAGCCTAGAAAAGTACAAAAACTTGGACTAAACAAAAAAAGACTTAGATTGCAGAAGTAGAAAGCAAAGATCTAAAAATGTGATTGTAGACAAAGGTTAATATATGGAAACTTAATAGATATTATAATGATTCTATAATGAATCGGTAGTTGGTAGCCTTATCAATGAATTAGCAAAGTTGGCCAATAGCCAACTTATATGACTAAGACTACTGATTTTCGTAAGACAAATTTGACTTTAGTTGAGCTAAACAACTCACTGTGCAATTAAATAATTTATAAATATCAAAAAATCATAGTCACCTATTTAGGTCAAAATTAATTAAGTCTTAGACTTCGATTTCTAACTACCGACTCACTGCAGAATCAGCTTGATGCATATAATGTTTACGTTCGAGATATTCCTGTATCGTTTTCAACTGTCCCATCATACATGCTTTCATAAGGCAATCTTCATAGGTGCGATCCACGAAATTGACTGTTTCTGTTTTTTCCTTCCATGAAGTATAATTATATTTTTCGACAGTAGACTTTTTCTGTTTAAGAAACCAAGTGAGACAAACGTCATATAATGAAATAATTAAATTGTGTTTTCCAGTAAGCGCACACATAGCAGTGATACAGTGATAATGTCATATTCGTTTGACATTAGCAAACAACAAGGATGACATGATTCACCGAGTTATACTGTATTATCTGTGTCTCTTGCTGGAAAGCACTCAAAATTTTACATGCATCTGTTAAACGTACCTCTTCGAGAGGATAGAAGACATCATCGTCCTCGTCGTCGTCCTCATCGGACATGCCAGCAGGCCTCATGCATGTGTACTTCGACATCCCTACCAGTCACCGCGATTGAGAAAGTGTAAAAGAAAACTCTTGCGTCAATTCTCTCGACAGCGAAAACTAATAAAAGAGACTACTTAAATGAGAATAACGAAACAAGACACCGGGAATTGGCGGCAGCCGGCAACCGATAATGTTACGCGTGCGCCGTACGTATGTTTACCCATGGTGGAACTATAATTCCACCATATGTTTACCTAACTAATCCTAATGTCTTAAAACTTGCGCTTGTTTACGAGAACAGTGTCCGATCTTATTAGTCGATCAAAAAATGTGATCTGATTATTGTAAACTTTTTCATCATCTCATACTGACGTTTTGACATTTGTTTGGAGCGTTTGGAGACTTGCCAAATGCCAAGCTAAGAGGTGATTGAATGTAATTCATGTAATGAATTTCACGAAAGCGCACGTTGTGGTTAGAATGCGGCAGTGGCGCAAAGTTATGATTTGTAGTGATTTGTCATCACTATTTTACCCGGTCTTCTGTCACCGATCATCTAATCAATCTCTACGTAGATATTCACTAAGATCCAGTTTTACAATTCACGGGTTTCACAATTCTTAATCGAGGTTATTTCTCATCGCTTTCCAATTCGAGAATTAAAAAGAGATAAAGAATAAGATAAGATAGAGTTAATCATATGTAATGTGAAACTGGGCTTAAGTTACTATAAGTACGTTTAGTTAATATTTAGTTAATTAGATAATTTGATATAATAAATAATGTTTAGTTAATTAGGCAATTTTTTTCCTAATAGTTTAAATAATAAAGAAATAAGTTAAATAAACCATCTTAAGTACAGTCAAAATGTCAAGTCAATTATTAGTACTTATTTACTTACCTCCATATGTTGATGAAGTTGACATTTTTTGAAATTGTACTCTGAAAGGGTGACAGATCTACAATATAAGTAGCTTAATTGCGTTTTAAATTTAAAAAATTGAATAAATGTGCAGTTTACAGAATTGAAAAATGTATTTGCAAATTTGTATATAATTCATTATTAAGTATCAAGATTTATTTTGACTTTAAGTAAAATTCTTTTTCTTATTTGATAGATCAATAAATTTATTGCTAAACTAACATAAAACTGAGCTAAAAACTGTCACTAACTATATATATTTGTTGTAATACTTTTGTATAATTTTTATTGTGTATCCGTCTGTTGTTTAGATCACAAGAAAATAATCAATTCTTTTCTAAATTTATTTTATTTTGTCATACATTACAAGAGAGACTGTTCATTTAACTTAATATTAACATATACCGCACACATGGTATTAAATTATTACAAAGATGACAAAGATGGAAAAGGAATTTTATATCGCTTTATCTTCAATAAGAAGTGCAATATTCTGAGATTACAAGAATATTATATATGTATAATATAATAAATGTAAAAATATGTATAATAAAATAAATAAGATATGGAGGAAAGGCTCCTATTATGAGATACTGAGTTTACTTTAAGTAAATGCTAGAAGTTTGTAGGCAGAATTTAAAAAAATAATAGGTCATTTTGAAGAGAATTTAATAAGCTTTAAGATAGTGTGTTATGTAAAATTTAATTGAAATTTTATTTTATTTTTTAATGAAAGAAATGTAAAAGATGAACAAATCGCAAAGTCAAAAAATTGTGCTCCTAATATGAGATACCCCGAGAAATCGATAATAAAGCACAAAGTACATCAGTATTAGAATTAAAAAAACTTTATTTGATGTTTCTAAAATACAAACGAGTACAGCCTGTGCGCGTAAATTGAGCATGTGATGCATTGTACTCGTAGGATTTGTCTTCAGTAATTGAAACAAAGTATTGCAGAAACATACCCTCAATGTTCATTCCGGTTATTCTTTTTATTATTGTACAATAACAATTATACTTTAGCATCGATTTTCACTTAGACACAGAAGTATAGATTATTTCATATTAGAAATATCCTGGGTATCTCGTATTACGAGTATCACGTCTTACAGTTTTACGATCATCAAATCTAATTTCTTTAATTAAACAATTCAACATATTTCGTATTTTTCTATCAGTACGATCTTACTCTATTACTACATGAAGAATTTATTGCCAAATAATTATACTTATTAAATAATAAACAAAGATTAAAGGCTTATCTCAATGAAACTTGAAAACATTAAAATTCTAAAATTTTATTTTACAATTACTGTAGGCATGATCTAACAATGAATTTTTCACTAAATAGTTTTCAATCCAAGAGCAATAATTTCATGGTAGAATCAACAGATAGCATTTATTAGTTTAGCAGAAACGCCGCTATCTCATATTAGGCGCCTGTCTCATAATAGGGGGCTTTATATATTATATGTATGTACACACGCACACGTAAATATATATAACAAATAAGTTGTAACAATAGCTTTAAATAAATTTATATAATTTATATTTATATAAATTCTGATATTTTTAAAATGCACCGGTAATATTTAGAGTTTGTAGCAAATTTTTAAATAAATTTTACTAAATTTTTATTAATTTTTTCTAATAGTAATAATAGAAGAGGGGTGAATATACGAACAAATGATTAGATTTCAAAACTTATAACTAGTTTATTGAAACAGATTGACCTAATTATTTGCTTGTACATTGACCTCTCCAGTCTTCACCGTCACTATCATTTTGCGTTGGAATTTTGAGCTTAAAATTTGAAATTTTTCTAAATTTTTCTTAATTAATTAGACTTTTAATTTTATTAAAATCGGCAGAGAGAGAGAGGTTTACTTTTTTCGAATGTTAATTGGCTGTTGAGATTCCTATCTATTGATTCCATGAGAGTCCCTATTGAAAGACATCGATGTGATCAGCGAAATTTCGAGCCGGCAACGCGCGCGTCGTTTTTACTGTACGGTACATACGTGTAAAAAAAAAACAACTTGTCGATATGCAATTATGTAAGTTGCGCGCGCATTGTTAAGCGCGCTGTGACAAGGAGGTTAAGTCGGACTTGTGACGTACGCATAGTACACTGCACAGCGCACAGTACAAGCGCTCCTCCGATGTTAATTACTGTGTTTCGTTACCCGTTATTGGCCGCTACAACGAGCGGCGACGGCAAGAAGCGGAGAAATTCATTCGCCTGATCGATGTACTCGCCCCCGTGACGGTGTGGAAGGCTAATTAGGGTTGTTAGAAAGGGCGTCCGCGATATCTCGGACTCTTCCGACAATCGTCTACATCTACAGTCCGCATAGCGACCGAAACTTTGCTTCGCGATAAGTGATAAGTGCACAGTAAGCGAACGTCTATCTATGTGTAACTTTACGAATCTCATTCAATTCGCATATGGGCACTTTTGCGATAATTTACTGTAACGAGGCATAAAATATTGATGCTGGAAACGCGCTTTTGGAATAAAATGCGTGATTACCTAATTATACGTATTGGTTTTCTACAGGACGAGAAATATTCTTGTTATAATGGTACAAGCGATTAGAGTTAAGTCATAATCTGGTTTTAATGTTGTAAAGAAATTTTTGTATGTAAAGAAATATAATATCTACTTTTGATATTTTTTTTACTTTTGATATTTGAGAAATATCGAATAAAGTATACTTTTGACAAATTCTCTTTTCTCTGCCACATCAGCATGTACCAAGAACGACTATTTCACGACTGTCTAATTGCCTAATAAAAAAAATGTATGCAGTCCTTGACACAAAAGGTTTCTGGCAAGAGACATAGGTGACGATACATAGTTGCTTTTTATTTACATAAAACTCAAATATTCTCATTTGTTATAACTTGGTAGCACATTCATTTTTATTCTGACAAGTAAGAATCAACTCAGTTTTTATATACACAAGCTCGAGACTTAGCTATATATTTTAGTGAATCTTGTTAATTCATGTTAAAAATGAGGTTTTAAAATCTCTATTGTTACATACTGACTCACCAAAATATGTAAGTATAACGTCATTATCTGAGTATAAGGAAATATGTTACTTTTTAGACTCATTACCAGTATCTCACTTGTGCGAAAATGGAAAGCAACTAATGTAACACAGGGTATTTTTTTTAGTGACACAAGTCAACACCAACATTATTTATCTTCCTTAGCATTCAATGATTAACAAAGACAGAATGACACTTGTGCTGTTAAGTGAAAAACATCTTATCTTTTTGGTATTCCTGTTAATAACAAAGATAGAAGTATGTTTTTGTTGATTTGTGTTACCAAATGAAAAGTGTCCAGTAAGTCATTACATCCTTGTTGTTTGCTGTTAAACTAAAATGAAGCGATCACCGTGTTCCACTATTGCTTTCCAGCTGAAGACATAAAGTAACACAAAATCTGTTTTTTATTTATGCACTAGACTACACTAGAACTCTTTTTTTACTTTCGTCAAATCACATATACTTTAAATTCCAAAAGTATGTATTAGCCATAGAAAATAGATCTACAATGTAAAATTCATCTTTTGGCGAACAATAAGAATGTAATGATTCATTATATTACACTGTAATGTCCATGTTTCTTGCTGGAAGCACAACAAATCTTCATTATATATTATCTATTATTATCATCATTATTATATTAAGCTTATTAATATTTGAATATATTGAATAATATAACTTATATTAAACACACACATACATGACTTATTCAACTGGATGTATCCTGTTTTCTTTCATACTGTCACTACAAGCTTCTTGAATTCTGATTATATTTATATTCAAAGCGTTTCTTACGACACCGAAAGAAACGGCGCTTAAGAACGTTACATCGTTCAACCACTGTGGAGCGTGAATACACGAATATATTTTCAGTAGAGTTCCCAAAAATACCGGTGTCCAGAAAATTATGCACAGAATTAACGATAACGTGATAGTACCAAATATTCTTACCATGCATTCTATCTCTAAAGCCATGCTTTCATTTTCCCTGCAACTTTCACGATCCTTTTCTTTTGCATCTATATCTGTCCAACTGTGACGATTTCTTGATCTCTGTGGCACGCTGGATCCTTCTACTGAATCTTGACGATGAATCTTTTTATCATCCGTGGAAGTAAGATCCGTATTTGTTTTTAATATCGCGAGTAAATTCTTACACATGTGCTTTCCTCGCATTTGTAGGACACAGGAGAGCAGGATTGGCAGGAAGTATATCGCAAAGGATAATACAAACATCTGCAGTTTTAAGAACTTAGTTGAAACGAGGCACTCGTTGGTCATACGCAATGAATTATTCTGCTTGGTCCTAGTATTGATGTAGCGATTATCATTTTTATATAGATCTCTGATTGAATTTGGTTTCCTCTTCTCTATGTAATTCTTTAGATTGCTAATTGTAGGCTGATCTCCATTCTTGGGTCGATTCACTGAATGATTATAATGATTTTTCGCTGAATACACACTGGCAGCTTGAATACGTTTCATTATCTCGTCATATATTTGATTGCTGGAAACGAATGTTGTATTTTCCACGATGGAAGTTTCGGTGGTCTTTCGCGTTGTGCTTTCTTCTGCACTTGCGAAATGTATTTGAGCATCCTCTTGATAATTGTCATCCTTATTTTTAATTGATATTTGCGATACGCTGTCCAAATTCTTAGATGTAGTTGCATCTAATTCTTTTATCGCATTCTTTGACACATCGTAGAATGATATTTCCGAATTTTGATTTAAATATATACTATTGTCAGTAGATGAATCATGGATACTTACATCCTGTTCTATTAGTGTACTATTTAGTCCTTGAAAGCCATTAACATTTGTAATATTTTTTATATATTTCATTAAGTTGTGTATCAGAATGTACTGCGTTAAATTATGCGGTCTAGGCGTATCATGGAAATTTGTAGTTTTTGTGGCAGAATTGCTCGCATAACGTAAACTAGTCCTAACAATGCTCTGAACTTTTGATACTACTTTATCTATTTCTACATCGTTTGGTTTTGACTTATTAAAGAAATAATTATCCGGTAACGTGTATATAACAGATTCGGTGGTGTTCAGATTATCATCAGTGACTGAAAATGTATCAAAGTCATTCATCGGAAAATTACTTCCAAATATGCATTCGATATCCTCCGCATCTCTCGCGTTATTCATGTCATTATATTCAGCGAAATATAGCATTCCCACAACAAAAAACGGCACGAGCCAATGAATTGTGACGAGGATACTAGTCGGTCTTTTGTCATCTTCTTTCAGCGTTCGAAAGTTTGAGATCTTCATGTTTCTCTGTATAATGTTGCTCCTGGTCTTCACGTTAATATTATCTTCTTGTTGAGATGCTGGTTCCTGTTCGTTTTTTAACATTTCACTGTCCTGACATTTGACTTCAACATTTTTTGATTCCAATTGAGTATTCAGTGATTTCATTACATCGGCACATCTTCGCTTTATGCATACTGCATTGAGATTGCATTGTACAGTAAAGGTCAACAAAGATATAAATGCGTTTGTCAGTGCAGCAATTAACATCCCATATTGCATAAGTAAGTCTTTCATGTCACACGTTAAAGTTACATTAAGATCAACCTCGTTGACTGCCTCACGTGGATGAATTTTTAAGAATGGAAATCGGTAGTTGTCTTCGGTTGTCCATGCATTGAATACATCACCACTGGTGTTATTTTGCCAGTTATAACTCAGTCTTATCCCATCATTTATATGATTCACGAGCAGTATAATAGCCGTTAAAATAGTACTAAAAACATCAGACGCCGAAAGAACGTAAAACGACGATTTCTTCTTGCGTTTACATCCTTTCCATAATAGAATCATAAGCGTAATAAAACTGGACAGCAACAGAGTGTAACCTGTTGCGTTTAGCACCGCGGAATGCATAGTGTGATGGCAGATCTTCCTCGATTAAAAATATTTGTCTGCTTTGTTTATTGAATTTACTTATTTACACACTGATTATTTCTAAAACTGCCACACCTTGAGATTGATGGAAACCGACTGAATAAAGTACTTGTTATAAGCATATGGGTACTGCATACTGATATATATGTGGGTACCCAGTTAACGTGCTTAATGCAGTTTAGATTTATCTGTACTTTACTGACTGCATATGAGGGCAAAATACTTATCAATTTAAACATTGCTGATGGTTCGACTATCTGTATTCTTACTGTTATGAATTTTTAATACCATTCATTTTATTGGTAGTTACTTGCACCTAATATGGTTACATGAAATCGGTTAAAGAAATAATTAAGAGATATAATAAATATCGCTTTTGATTTTATCTTAATATAATCAATTTTTTCAGAGTAAATTAGCATTTGCTGTATATATAATTTTCATGTTAATAAATATTATTTACAGTTATACTTTTAGCAATTTTTTTGATTATATAAGTTATTATATAAGTGATAAGACCTACCTCCGTAGGTGTTAGTGCATAAATAATATATTTATAAGGTGATAAGATATAATTCGCAAACAATTGGAATGAACTTATCAAAGAAGTTAACTGTTAAACGTTTCGACTCTGGATTTGAATCTTCATTGCAGTTTTCTTATCGGCTTATAAATATATTATTTACATATTAACATTATTAACAAATGCGGAGGCGCATATGAGCAATTTACTTATATTTAATTTATTCTTGAAGTCATAAAAATATTTTAATTTATTTTACTATATTCTTTTTACAGTATGACTAAGTTATTGATTAAATATTTTGTTTTTCTGTTAAATAATTTGAGCATAATAGCAATATTAAAACTTAGGAATAAAACAGTATACGAATGAATTGCACAAGTTATTTCTTATTACAGTTTGCTATCGATATGTCGGTACGTCGGAGAAGCGATCCATCTATGATTCAGCGGATTTGGGATGCGATCAAAATCACGGTACATCAAAGGAGCTTACCTAGTAATGATCGTATGGTACGGCACATGGCTCGAGTTTACGGCTTCACGGAACAAGAGGCTCAGGAGGAACTCAATAAGGCAGTCGAGGATGGACTCGTTTTCTTGAAGAAAGTACCTACGAAAAGCGGTGTCGAGCAAGAAAGTTACAGATTGCCACCGGCAGACATGTTACAGACCGATAATCACGATTGGTATTGTTGCAAATGCCAACGAGCAGGTGCGGTCGAATGCTGTGAACTATGCTGCAGGGTTTATCATTCGGAGTGCCATGTACCCAGCAATGCAAAACTAAAGATTTGTAATTTCTGCGAGGTAAGCATCTCCCCTCCGAAGCTCCCAATGCATACATTCTGTTGATATTTCATTAAAAGTATAAATTATGTTACAGAAAACAAACAGCGACGTATATTCCGACAAGGTTGAACTCAACCATATTCTTAATTTTACGTGTGGCCATCTAAAAGCGAAATTACCGCCGGAAATTACAAATCGTACCATTGTTTTTAACAACGATCCAATTGTTACACCACCCAATGGCTTTTCTGGACCAACCTGGGTGAGTGAAGGTGAAGATGCATGGCGGCCAGGAATTCTTATAAAGCGTCACATGGATTTGGCGATAATGGACGCGAAAACGAGCAATAATGAGTATAATAATCTCGTCGAATTTGAGGCTGATGCATATAATATTCTACATAACATCATTATATATCATGGAGGTAAGAGATTTATAATTCGATGCATTTTTTCTTTTTATTAAATATCTCGTTATCTTGTTGCTCGAGCAGTTAATAGCGTGATAGCGGATATGGGACGCACGATGTATCAAGACTGTTGTTACGATCTTCAAGAAATACGTCGTTGCGCTGATTGTTATCGTATATCAAATGAAAAATCCGAAAAAATGTGGTTCTGTATACCATGTAATCCTCCTCATCAACTGGTTTACGCGAAGCAAAAGGGATACCCATATTGGCCAGCAAAAGTCATGCAAGTTAATGGCAATGTGTATGATGTGCGTTTTTTCGGAGGCCATCATATGAGGGCTAATATCGAGAAAGTTTTTATTCGGCCAATTTCTTCCACATTACAAAGTTTGCAGGTAAAAATTGAAATAAAAAGCGAATACTCCGTACTATTAGCTTGATATTAATTTTATTGTTTATTCGCAATAAATACTCTTGCAATCATAACTGCGATATAAAAAAAAATCCTTACAAGAAATCAATTTAGAAACACACTTTTGAAAAAGAAAAAAAAATGAGAAGAATCAAGGGTGATAAAATAATCGGAAAAAAATATATATTAATTTCTTTCCAAAGCATGACTATTATTAATACAAAATTTTTTATTTTTTTATAATTAAAAATGTCTTTGTAGGTAAAAAAATCAACGGCTTGGAACAGAGCTTTTGAAGAGCTAAAGCATCATCAGAATTTGCTGCAAAAGTTGGCAAAGAATAAGGAAGATAGCTCAAATACAACAGAGGATCCTACACCTGCAAAAATGCGAAAATTGGAATCGTCGAGTTCTAGAAGTGCATCACAAGATTCTAATTCACCAAAGCAACTGATGAAAGATTTGAGAGTAAGAGTTGAACGCTTGAGTTCAGAGAGTAATACTGAAACACAAAATACAAACGACGAGACAAATAATAAAGATGCTATAAAAACTGAAACCGAAAATGAAGAAAGACAAGTGCCTCGTTTACCTGTGGCGGAAGACGAACCCGCGGGAGAAAGCATAACCAGCACATGTCCACAAGGTTTAAAGAAGGAAGGTTCTCAAGAAGATATGGTTACGTCTAGTTGCCAAGAACCAAGATCAAAATGTGTTCTCGTACAAACTGAACAAATACAAACGGATGGGCTTCCCGCCAAGGTAAACCTTTGGCCAAGTGCCTCAATCACGTATTCCACATAGTTATATTATCCGATTATTTTTTGACAACTGTGTAGATTAATTTGCAGATTAAAAGAGAACGCAGAACTTCGGAACAACCCACGACAACGGCGCTAGAAAAATTGCGCCGTGAATTAGAGCTTGAAAAGTGCAAAGAATTAGAAAGACTACAAGCGGAGCATGCCAAAGAATTGCGGCAATTAACCGATAGACATCAACAAGTCGTCTCTGATATAAAAAAGAAACAATGGGTAATTTTCTTTCGTCTTTTTTTCTGATCACTTTTTTTTAAATCAGTATTCTTACGTCTATTATTTGTTATAGTGTTACAATTGCGAAGCTGAAGCGATATATCATTGTTGTTGGAATACTGCATATTGCAGTACAGACTGTCAACAGGTTCACTGGCAGCGTGAACACAAAAGAGTATGCAGGCGTAAGCGTTAATTTATGTGACGAATACATTGAGTACAATGACACATAAGAAAGCGTTCAGATATGATATTTTATATAATACACACACTTATATGAAGCAACAAGCTCTTTCCAGTGTATGAAAACAATTTTCTGTATTTGTCTATCTGGACGCTTTTTTCATACCTTATTGTATATATATGTAATATATATATAGATATGTGTATAAATGTGTGTGTATGCATGTGTATACAGCATCCCAAGTTGATATTGAGCAGAGAATATCATTCATTTTATTATTTTTCCAACAATTTTAATAATAGATTTTGTGTTACAAGCAAGAAATTTGAAAATTTAAAAAAATTTTGTGAACATAACTTTGAGAAGATAAATAAAATTAAATGCGATTTAAATTAATCAAAGACTTCAAAGGACAACATTGTTTCTGCATATATATATGTATATATATGTATGCATATATGCACACATATCAGAGAATAATAATAGTAGAAGCACATTAATATATTCTTGACACCAATTCGATATGCCTTCGTAAACTTCCTTTCCGGGAAGGATTGTTATATGTACACGCAAGTCTTAATCTTAAAAGACTATTTTTACTTGTATCAAGCTATATAACAAAATAGTTTTTAAACATAGTTTTATACTTATTGATATTTATATATTTACGCAGATTCTGAAAAGATATAATAATAATCATATGCGCGAAAAATCATTCATAAAAAGGTACATATACATTTGTTAATCTTTTTGATCGATTATTTTTCTAGATAAGTTTTTGTTCTTTATACAATATATTAATAACAGACTGCAGCGTAATTACGTATGTCAACAATAATGTGAACAAATATATATTGTTATTTCAGTCATTAATTATCAGTTATTCATCACATTTGTCTTGGGATATTATCTCATTGCAATTCTTACTTTAATTTATCAGAGTGAAATGATTTCTTTAAATGTGAAAACGGTAAGTCACACAGAAACATCAATATATTTCGTAATTCATACGTAACAATCTCAATTGTGAAACAATATATAAGATACCTTTATATATATTGTATCTAGCGTGCACTATAAAATCTAATTGGATGTAACTATTTGTGCTGGATCACAGTAAATACTTAAATAATAGAAAATAGTTCATATTTGAAATTATTATATTATTTATGTATTAAAATTGCGTAAAAGTTATGTATACGTTTCTATATTATATATGTTGATTACTTATTCATATTTAAATTTTTCATAATATAGAACCATTTCTTTATCATATAAGAATCAATATCATATTCTTGCTACACTTTACAGTAAAATCTCTAAATAATTCAATCGTATAGTTTACCATATATGTTTTAATTTGCAAGCGTTTGTTAATGGCATCAAAACCTTGTCAAAATTTCTAATCGTAAGCAATAAAAAAAAAAGTGTAACAGTTTGAGACATATATTATATTACAGTATGAATACATGTTGTTTTAGGTAAAAAAAAACTCTTTAACAAAACTTAAAAAACAGTAATAAATTAAAAATAATATTGTTACAACAGTTATCAATGATTAATTCAAGTATCTTGTGTAGCTTTAACTTCCTTGCCAACTACATCTAGAGCCATTTTACCCTTTCCCACTGTTTCAGTAACTTGCACATACCTGGTGGTATCTATATTATTTAAAGATAATCGTTCTAACAACTGTAACTCAGACGGTTCTAATTTTTCTCCAAGTTGTCTCAAAGCACTTAATATTTCTCCTCGTTGGCGATCAGCAGCTTCTTTGTTAAGTTTTCCTAATTTTACATCTCGATCAATTTGTGAGAGACGTTCCTTTAGTCCGGTAGGTTCTCGCTTACCGAACATTCTTATCACGGCTGGTGTTTGAAAGGCGGCACTGATGGCAGCTTGAGTTGCCTATTAAGAATTTATAATCAAGTAGAAACATAAAGTAGAATGCATCACATTACTGTAATTCGTTAAGAAAATTATATAAGATATATACTAATTGCATTGCTCCAAGTTCATCGACTAAAGTCATATTCCCAGATATCATTCTTTGTAAGCTCTCATTAAACTCGCGAAGTTGTTCCATAGTGTCTTCCTTACATTCCTGATAATCCGTTTCGTCTAGAGTTTCATTAACCCTGTTAATAAAATAATTGGTGTAACTCACAAAGAAAACAAAAATGTATATAAATGTAAATTGTTTGTTTTGATATGAATCAGAACCTGCAATCTTCCAAATCTTCTAATTGCTGCACGAGCCGATCCAATTGTTCCTCTAAGTTCTTCCTGAGTCTGTCGGTTTCTGCTTTTCCGTGAGAACTCATTTTAGAGTTGAGCGATGAAAATGCTGAATGGATCAATGGAGAAGAAAAGAAATGTACGCAGATTTAAAGGTTAGGGTTAGGTTAAAAGTGTTGAAATGTAATTCTTTGTGTTTATCCAGCAATATATATATCACAAAATATTAATCTGTTTAAAAAAGAAGAGAAAGAGCATTCGCTACTTATATACAGTACTTTGCAATGTTACAAAACATAAAAATTGTGTAATGGAAAGTTCACATTAAAGCAGAAAAGAAGAACTTGACATTTGTCAGAACCAACGCACCAATCAAAAGTTGCACTGCGTAGCAAAAAGGTGCATATCGATGCCTATATAATTCTGTATTTTTTTTTTACACTAAACTAGGGTATACTTTCGGAACTTAAAAGATCTGCTCTTTATTTCTGCACTACCCGAACAGGTGCACATGGTGCAATAAGATGAAGGTGGAACAAACGTATACATCCGTTTGCACCAGTTCAGAGAGTGCAGGAGTAGATCTATATTCAATTCTACAGATTAGTTTTTTTTTATCCAATTCGAAGACGTTTTTTTATAGGATCGCGGGCGTTGCCTGGATCCCGTTCGAACGAATCGATCGGTTGCGTTCGTGTCGCGCGGGTCAATTGGTCAAGAGAGAGGAAAATGACGAATTTCCCTAGGGGGGCACAACTCCTCCTAGGGTCCCCACCATCGATGGCGGAAACGTGTCGAGAGAGAGCGGAGTGTGTGCCGAGAGAAGCGTGGTCATTCCCCTACGTCATTACGAACGTCGCTTACGTCGCGTCTGGTCGCGTCGGACAAGCAGGATCATCAGTACCACCGAGTGAACGATCGAGGACGCGTGGTAACGGCCGTTCAGTCTCTCTCTCTTTCTCTCTCGAGATTCGTCGTGGCGGCGTGGTCGCGCATGGTACACAATAGACGTTTGCTCCTATTAACGTTCCTCGTTGACGAGTTCGGCCGGCGAACGGTGAGATTATGCGAAGAGAGATCGCGCGCGAGCGGAACGTTCCTCACTTCGGCACTGCTTGGCGTGCGGGCGATCGAGCGCAGATCGCGGGATTGCCGCGAAAAACGAACGATCGTCGCGCAGCGGGACACATCGCGGGGACAGAGGTGCGCCACGGGTGAATACACGGGAGTATCAAGCGTGTACGGTCCTCTTACCGCTGTGCACGCGCGAAATCGTATTCCGCGAGTGAGAGAACCGAGAGGTGCGGGAGAGCGCGCGCGCGCGCGCTCTTGCTCGCCGAACCCGCGATCGTTTCTGCGGATCGTTGCCGATCGCGGCGCACACGATCCGGACGCGTGATCGTTCCCGATCGCGGGACACTTATCTTCCGAGGTCTTCGGCCCGAGGGGGGGGCGGGGCGGGGAAGGGGGGGATCCTGAATCGCGAGTAAATCGCCGTGCGATCCGTCGTGGAAGAGCCTCTGAAAGCGGTACGTAGAAAAATAACGTACCTATGAGTGCGACTCGCGCGAGGTACCAGGGTTCTAAGGACAGTTCGCACGAGGAAGGTCCACGTCTGCGATGAGCATGCCGATGAAGGGGAAGCACCACCACCTGTCCCACCATCATCACCCGCAGCAACACCATCAGCCGCAGCAGCCGCCGCCGCCGCCTCATCACACCCCGCCGCAGCATCAGCACCAGCTCATCCTGAACCAGCCTGTCGTGCATGCCCCGCAGACCTACAGCGCGGTCGTTACCACCAACACTCGCTTCCTGAATGCCGGTAAGTCTTCTCTTTTCTCAAGCAAGCTCCACCTCCCTCGCGTGCCATTCCGCGAGGACCGTGGGGGGGTCCGTCCGATTGACGATTTAACTGTTCATTTGTATTCGCTTCGTCGGACGGCACGTCGCGTGACATCCTCGTCGTCGATATATTAATCGACAACGTGCACGAGGATGCCCCTGCTGGCGCGGATTGCTCGCCGAGTCGCGCCCGATGGAATATTCATCGCGCATGCGACTTCACGGGGGAGGGGGGAGGAAAGTGTTATTTGAGGTTAGGACGACCACGCGGCATGTGGCACGTACGCCACGAGAACGGACGGGGACCACCCGACGTCCTTCGTCGCGTGTGTCGTTTTCTCTTCTGTTTAAACGATTCCTGCGCCGGCGGTTTCGATTCTGTTATCCTCGCGAACGAGGTGATGATTACAAGAGTAAACGAATTTCTGGAATATCTGTAATTGCATCGGTCGACACGCCTGATGAATTTGCTCGTTTTGCTAATTTTCATCTCGTTCTCCGTGGAATCGACCCACAGAATCGACCCCCTTTCTATACGTATCGTGGATTCACTCGGTATGGATTCCGATTGGAATTGTTCAAATGTTATTGTTCTTCAAATTTCTATTGTGTTTTCGAGGAAAACGGAATGATTCCGATCGCAATCCATTCCGAACAATTCCATAATACGTACAATATCTTCGATTGTTCGGTATAAACTATAAAGGAAGGCTCGTTCGACATCCGGATAAAAAGAGAGGCCAGAAGTGGGGTGTACAGCTTTTATGATGAAAATTTCAAAATACTCAAATCAGCAAGTTATTACTTCCTTTCTCCTCGCGAGCCGCGCTGAAAATCGAAGCGCGTATGTATGCCAACGGAAAACGGGGATCTCTGGAGGACGAAAGTTTGAAGGAATGATTCGCGAAAGAAAAGAAAATATAGTAATTTTTTTCCTCCCCACGTCCCTCTTCTCCGTTGATTACGAATGTTAGATCTGTTCATTTTAGCCGAACTTCTTGCATCATTCATCTTTTTTTTTTTTTCTGCACCGTGGAGAGGAAAAAAAAGAAAGAGCTAAGCAAACAGACGTATTTCAGTTAAATCGCGGAACCGTTTGATCTTTTCTGATGTTATTGTGCTTGTTATGCTTTGAACGACGTATTGGATTTGATCGGTTAACGCGTCTTTAGATTCCCGAGCTCTCTCAATTCCTGCCTCGTGTCGATTTTTTTGTTTTTGTTTTTACTGTCCGCCCTCAGACTTCTCTGTCTTCCGTGCTTCTACTTGAATAATAATTCGAATCTTCGAGAACGAAAGAGAGAGACGGATGAATGTATAAAGTCGTAAACACAATGAAAAGCACGGACAGTAAGAACAACACAGGGAATAACACATTTAAAAAAAAAAATGATGTTTATTTAACTAAAGTAACCGTTTTAAATTAAAAGGAACAGTCTCGAGTTTTAATTTTCTGTCTCATTTTATAACGCATCTAAAATTTTACTCCAAATTAAAGACATAATTATAAAATTGTCCTTTTTCTTTTAAATCTGAAATAACAAGTAAAAATAATATATTGTAAATAAAAAAGTACAATTTAAAAAAATTAATGTGATTTTGTAACTTGATGTAATTTTTGTTGCAATCTCATAAAATAAGAATTATTTACATTTACAACTATAATAATATATGTTCAATTAATTATTATAAAAAATTTTTATTAAAATTTAATTACAATATTGAATTTTTTAAAATGTTTTCCTTTCTTTTTTTTAAAGAGTTGGTCAACTTAGATTTAACTCCTTGCGATGTTTATAATTCTCACTGTATTTATATTATTGATATTATATCTACTGATATTTTTTAGAATGCGGCTTTTAGTTTATCAGAAATCGTACGTTAGAATTATTCTCGTTTCTATTGCCTGTGCTTTACAATTGTGTCCCAAGTCTCAGGCAATGGGCTTCCTACAATAGGACCATTATTGACAATAGATAAGCTTAAGTCCCAAACTGTAAGAAGTCGACCAATCACAGTCTATTTATTCTTTTTATATTCGACTGTAATTTTTCATGTCTTAAGATTTGAAGTTTAGAAACCAAAATTCTAATGACACAAAGGGCAGTGAGAGTGCAAACGTTATGTCGGACATAACGGCGGAAACATGCTATAAAATAATTTAATTTGTTTAAAAATTTTGAACATTGTATAAAACGTGATATCGATCCATATTGTTTGTATCTTTTTTATGTACATCTTCATTGTGGTTTGTAAGATTTAATAACATCAAATCTGTAAATTTGATGTGACTTCACTACAAAATTCACAATGAGAGAATCTGAAATGTATAAGCTGAAGATGACTCAAAGTAGAGTCGGAACGTTCTTATTGAAAGATTTTATGTAATTATATGGAATAAAGAAAGAATTCTAATTACACCACTTTGGACTGATTACGTACTAACAACAACGTTTGCACTCTCACTGCCCTTTGTCATTGGAATTTTGGTTTTTGAATAAGGAGAGTCCGCAAGAAGATTTTGTTTAAAGTTTAGGTTATTGTTATTGTATATTTATCGTAGAAAGTCTTAAGTAAGTCCCAAAGCACAATAAATATAATAAATTTTAAACCATAAGAAATCAACTAATCGTAGTCGATTGTTCTTCTCACATTCGACTGTGGTTAATCAACATTTTACGCTTTAAAGCTCGTTATGGGCCAATTTCACCAACGTCGGTTAAGCTAACCGACGGTTAAAGTGTCAATCGTGATTGGTTCATTCTGGTCAAAGACAAATGCGATTAGATAATTCCATTGGAATTAACCGTCGGTTAGCTTGACCGACGTTGGTGAAATTGGCCCTATTTCTGTTTTGTTTCGAGGATTAACCTTAAACGCAATGAGAAACACGAGTAAAGGAGAAATAAGAGATTTTAACCTATCAGAAATGGTGTGCAATAGTAGAATGCGTTTTGATAGGTCGAATCTGTTGCTCCATTGTTATTTCACTGCGTTTAAGGCTTTACTCGCTCATCGCCATCGCGGTATGCGATATACAGGTGTGTGAGTCCATGTGAAAGCAAAACCGCTGTTCCCCGCGATGTCGGCTACGCCAAGTTCGACAACTCGGCCGTGCAAGTAGAACGACGACGAGTTACTCTTTTCCTGGCTTCCGTAATCTCGTTACATTAGTTTCTCGCAGTTAACAGTTATAGTAGCAATAATAGAGGCATCAACTTGTTATCCAAAGTAACGATTATCAGTAGAGCTAACATTCTACCTACAGCCGCTATCGATATTAGAATGCTTTGGGAATATCGTTCATTCGTCCGTCTCTATTTACACTCTTCGACTGGTCTCTACATGTTACATATTTAATTAGAATGTATACGCTGAGATAGATATCTGGTTGAAAATGGACGGACCGGAAATTCTGATCATATCAATCGGAATTCTGGTTATCTCAAAACTAGAGTTCTCTAATAAAAAAAATTCTGATTCGTCCATTTTCAATCAGAATTCTAATTAATCCAACCACATTCTTCTCAGTGTATTTTTTTTTTTTGGTTGGCATATAATTACATCAATGTATGTAATTCAAATAATGTCAATTTTCCAGT